CTGCAGTGTCTGCATAATTTTATTGTATGCTTATTCTGTATGATTGAAAAAAAAGAGAGCATCTGAAATAATTAATACAGCATAGAAGCCTGGACAGTATAGTTCCTCTAGTTCTTTAGTTATTTTTTTTCCCCTTCAGACTGATTTAGTTTTCTTTATATCTATAGCCTTATCACTTAAATTAAACATCTGAATGGAAAACTAAGCCTATGAGACTGAAAAATGCTTAGCTAAAAATTATTAACCTCTAAGAACATAATATTTTCATGGCAACCCTCAGACAAAGAAAGGTGAATCCTTGTTGCTTGAGACATATATTTTTTTAAAGCTTTCTATATGATGTATTAAAAATATGTGAATATTTTCTCAGCTGGCTAGGCAGAATTGGTTTGAAAGAGGAATCCCCAGGAAGTTTAATTTTCCTATGCTACGCAAAGAATTCCAGGTAATGACCTTAAAACCTATGACCTTAGAAGAGACTAAGTTTTTAAGACATTAACCTTCTGTGTTAGTTGAATTTTGAATTCTGAATAGAGAAAGGCACTGGGGGTTTATTTAAAAAGTTGTTAAATAAATAATTACATGTCACCAGTTTGCAATAAGAGAGACTACATTTACCCACTGTACTGGGCTTATTCAATCAGCAACAGTGTCAGAAATCTGTGCTAAATTATTCCTTAAAGCAGAAAATTTGCTTTAGTAATTCAGTACATTCAATGAGACTCAAATTATGAATTTGAGCAACTGCTGCCTTTGATATCTTCAGTTTCTCTGAATAACACCCTTCTGCATTAAATTCCCCACTTGAAGCAGAAACAGGATGTAAGGATATAAGTAAACAAAATTAAAATGTAAGTGGAAGACTGAGACTTCTTGAAAACAACTATTTATTACTTCTGTCACCATCATAAACACATACAGCTATATAAAACAAAACAAAACTGTGCTGTTCGAAACAAAAAGTGAAGAGGAAAATTAGATCTATTCTTTCCCCACTGTGACTGGTTCAATACCTCCAGTGCAGATTCCTTCTGGTGGAGGGTGGTAATAAAATTTTTCCAATCTTCTTTAGCAGCAGCACATTTGTCCAGGATAACTTTAGCCTTTTCCTTTGGTAAGACAGAGCACAGCAGTTCTCCTTTGGATGCTACCAGGTTTAGTTTTTGTTGCCCGTTCTCACTCTCTGATAAGAATTCCTACAAATAGTAAGAAAAGAACCTAGTTGGTAAACTCTGGCTCCTAAAAATTTTAACTAAGTTTATTGTTCACTGTTAACATGCTAACTCATCTTTATGTACATTTCATTTTAACTTTATCCATACTTATGGGATTTAGGGACAACAGCTACTTAATCCAAAATTGCCATATGTCAAAACTACCTATATATTAAGATTCTTGGATGTTCTGCAATTCATGATACAACTGCTGATCACTTAACTGGATACCAAACTTTAAATCTCCATGGTACAGAAAGTGGTAACATTTTCATTTCAGGGAACTAGCATCCTGGCACAGATAGCAGGAGGAGCTGAGGCCCACTCTGAGGCACACACAGAACAGAAGCCTTGCTCAGGAGTGACAGCCACACTGGACTTCTACCAGGGAAGCCCACTTCCATAGGGGTGTGGGCTGATGCTTAGACACTGAGCAATGTCTAAGCTGTGTGATTTATCTCTCTGCATCCTTAGTTTACCTTCGCTGTTTGAAAGTATTTTTCTTCATGGAAATCTTGAACAATGCTGGTGTGCAAGAAGTGTATGGAAAAAGGCATGTGCAAGAATTACACAGAAATGCAAGGAAACAGCCAGACTTTTAAATTCCAATATTCTTACAACTTGCAATTATTAGAAGACGTCGTGAGCATTTAGAACTTAAAAGAAATTTAGCAGTCTTAAATACCAATTTTTTAAACTGTTACTATCATGATGGTATGATATACAAGTAGTTTTATATCCATAATCTATCTTATGGTTACATCCACATTCAGAAGTAACAGGCTTGATACAAAAATTACTAAGTCAGGTTCTGATTTTGTTACACTAGAGGTATTAGTAGAGAATCCAAAGGCTCTGTTAGTTTTGAAACACTTGGTTCAAGTTCTGACTATATTAAAATCAAATATATAATTGTGTTGTGATGTCAAATGTGCTAGCAGACAGAACATAAACAAAAATAAAATTTTAAGTTTATACAGGTTACCAAGACATCTCTAGTAGTCCTAAAGCAGTAACTGCATGTTGAAACTCCACCTAACTACAGCTCTTACATTTAATGTCAAAAACTTCTAGGATTTCTCCTGTTATTTCCTCTAAACATATTCTCATTTTGGGGTAGTCAAAGATTTGATACATTAATAGAATGTTGTTTACACTTTTAAGTAAACCATTTAAGCAAGGGAAAGTGAATTTACCAAAAGGAGGAGGAGGAAGTGATTTGGGTTTTGGTATTTCTGAGAACCTAATAGGAATTTCTTCTGTTATACCATCTACCTGGAGGTTTAATAGTCTTATAATGTAGTCCCCATTATGCTGTTTTCAGTTAAAATCATAGTCATATTCTATTCATAAAAGTATTTATTTCCCTTGCTTTATTAAAACTTTTGATTGGCATTCCTTTCCACAGAGTTGTTGGGATTTGTTTCAGCTTTATGTGAAAAGCATACTCTAAAAATGCCTGTTTGCAGTGCATACACTTAAACTCTGTTCTTCAGGTAAAATATTCACATAACTTTGAAATAATTTCAGATACTAAGTCCTGATTCTGACATCATTCTGATTTTATAGTACTCTCCTACTTTAAAAATATTTTTTTAAGAAAAGAAACAAGGAAAGCAAGTGACAATGACTACATACAAACTGCAGCCCAACAAGTACACAAAACGAACCAGATTAGAAAAAACTGTTTATTTTCTTGAAATTGGTCACCTTTCGTTTTGGTAATAGCAACAATAACACAAAATAGTAATTAACCAAACAAGTCAATCTGAGTTTTATACGAAACTGACTGGTTCTCCTGTAGACTATTATTATGCTGTAGACTTACCTGTATTTTCTGCAGACTTGCTGAAGCTTCATTGACATTTTCAGGTACATCAAAGCATTTGGCTGTGGTGACTTTTGCATTGACCAGCCACTGCTGGAAGTCCCTGAAAGCTGTCCGAAATCTTTGCTGCAAGATCTGCTCTTTGCTTTGACATCCTTTTGAAGCTTGCAGGCAGAGGCTGGGTTTATCACATCACAGAAACAAAAGAAAGCAGGGGAGGGGAGAGAGGAAAAGCAGGACTGTTAGGTGACAATGGTATTACCTAGTTCTCTGAAATACGATCGTTAAGTTTAGGTTAACCTGGATTCCTCCTGCCAACTTTAAGCACTTAACTGAAGCACCGGGAAATCTATTAGAAACTTTTGGTTCCTTAAAAGTGAAGCATGTAAACTGGGACATAACTGTCACAGATACGGCAGGCTTAAGTGTTTCCAGAGAGTGCCTGAGTGCACCTAAGCATGAACAGTTTCTGCGAGCCCCTTTCTCTCTCTAGAAATGGGATGTGGAACTAACTTGATTACAATTCTAACTTCCCTGGCTCACTTAATTTCATAACATGAGAAGAGATCCATCTGGGTAATCACAACCTTCTTCTAAAACTACAGAAGCCAAAACCTGTAACCCCTTGCAAGAGATAACAGAATCTTGTGTCTGAAACAGATATCATACCCTCAGGTAAATCAGCTAGAGTCAGCTGGGAGAAAGCAAAAAGCAAGCAAATCCTAGCTCCCCTGTTTCAGGGAACCAGCTAGTCAAAGAAGAGTGAACTGACGAACAAAATTAACAAAATAGTCTTAAATAGCTGGCATAGCTTGTTTCTCCTTCAGGCAAATAAGCCATTGTTCTATTCCACAGTTTCTTAAAAGGATTCTCCCAGTTATAGGTCAGGTGTGGTTATACATTAGTTTCAGTTGAGGAAAAAAAACACCACAACTCAAAAATGCTTTTTTTTGCAACCTCTATTGACACCAAAATAAAAATAATCATATACCTCTGTTTCTAATGTTAAAATTCTTATTAGTGGTTCCCTAAAGGACAGCTCATACCCTCATTCACACACACACACAGAGGACTGATTAACTATAAACAAGATGAATTTGTACCTGTTATACTCCTTAATCAACCCTGAAACTTTTGAAGAATAAGTACTCAAATCTCTGGAAAATCTACAAAGATCATTTAACTGAGTTTTGATCTCATCTGTCATATGTTCAGACTTTACCAGAGCATCCAGAGTTTCCTGTTAAAACAAAACAAATTAACAATATTGGTGAGTAAACTAACAAACAAGCAAATCCTTTAAATAAAAATATATTAGAATTTAAATTCAACTTCATTTATGACCTATGCATATTAGCTTTTTAGAGTATTTTAGCAATCAAGCCTACAGAACCTTATTTGAAATTATGAGCTTCTACAGACCAGATTTCTGGAAGCCTCAACTTTCTTAGCTCAAAATATTCCCAAAGAACATTTTAAGATATAAATTTCATTTTAATATATATTGTCAGTTAGCTGTACACGTATACAAGTACATACAATTAGGAAATAGCAAATAATGTTTATCTAAATGTTTATCTAAATATAACTATCCTGTAGGCTTTAGCTTAGCATGAAAACTGTTTTGAGCTGTATCCGAAAACATTAATTTACGTACAAAGCTTTTAACAGCTTCAACTCTTTCACAGAGGGTTTCATCATGTAAAAAATAGGGCTGCTCACAACTCTGTGACAGTAAGTGGGTTACTGCCTGTCATTGCTGCACTGCAGACTCCTGATTTGGAGACAACTAAGCCAACAAAAAATACGGTTTTGTTAGCTCAGCAAACGTCACTGGGAGAGGTGTGATAACCACTCCAACAAAAACAGTTCCTGTTGACATCCACAGCATCTCCACTGGTGAATCCAGCCAGCTACTCCAGCATAATGAGCAGTGCAAACCTGGCTACTTGCCTTAGAGAAGCTAAATTCCTCAGGCATTCCT